CACATCGATTGTAAGCTTTGATCTATAAATCCTAGCTTCTTTCTTTAAATGTAATTTATCATATCATTTAATTGCATTAAGAACCCTAGACCTCAAATCTTTATATGTTAATTAAAATCAACACTTAAGATTGCAACATAATGTCAACAAAAGAAGGATAACATACAAAGTTAAACAGGAAAATAAAAAGATGAAATTTAAATATCTTATAAGATATGATACTAGCCAAGGCAATTTTCGGGCCAATCAAAATTTCACTTAAAAGTATATTCAAAATAAATTTCAAAGTGGGTCATCAATTTGAAATTTTTTTTTTAATATTATCATTTATTTAATTCTGAGAATTTAAATACTTCATTAAAAATAATTGTTATACACGCTTAATTATTTTAATACACATGGTTTGTCATGAAAAAATAACATAAAAAGGAATATTTGATATTAATATTGGACTAATTGAATGATCAACTCTAAACAAAATGATACTAATATGATTGAACATTATGCAACGTATATAGATCTTATAGGCACACATGATTTATCTTTAAATTATTTTGGCGTGTTTACCTGCTCATTAAAGATCTTACACAAGAAGTTTGGAATGAACTCAGATACAATTGACCAAAAACAATATTTGAGGCTTTCTTTAGATCTTGCATTAAAGCATATTAAAAGCATTCTATTAACACTAGCACAAGTACTTACTCCTAAGAAATGCTCAAAAGCAATTCATCTAAAACCTAATGAAACACATAAATGAAAGAATTATGCATAAACTAAATTGGATTTTATTAAACATACTATAGTTTACTGATATTCTTTTGAGAATTTTTTTATCAGAAAATGATCTGCAAATATAATATGAATCTATGTTTAATGATTTTGTATCCAACTTGCATCTACATTAGAGCATCCTGCTCATGAACCTAAGCTATTTAGCAATCTTTGCAGTCAATGAATGTGCCCAACTTTGTCCAAAGACCTATCTATAAATTCATAAATCCTAAATCCATATGGCCCTGTACACTTTAAATTACACCCCTAAGCTTTAAAATCCCATTAACCTTTCCTTCGTTGTTTCAAACAGGTGTCAAAATTAAAACTTGACGTAAAATTAACTATGTGATCATATCTATATCTAAGTTTCTAATAATAATTGAAAATATGCATAAATGTGAAACTAAGACAATTATATTAATTATAGTTGATGAATCAAATGAATAATCTAAAAATGCACTTAATAAATTATTTGACGATATTATTCAATAGTAAATGATCATATTAATATTGACTTTGTTTTTTATTCTTATTTCTTCATATACTAGTTCCTACAAAGTCTTGTGAAAAGAGTTAGGTTGCACCAATAGTAAAAAGAATTCAATAACAGCAAATGTCTTAAAATAAATCCAAAATTTAAAATTTTTAACTAGACAGCTTCAGAAGTGCACAATTCATCGTAGTAAATATTTCAATCAATTTGGTTATTTATATAAAAAGGTATTCCCCCCCTAAACATGTCCTAACTCATGATTTTTTTTTAATTTTGAATTACTTGGACTGATTATTTCTAAGAAGCAATCACGGACCAGTAGGATCCATTACAATTCATATTCATCTCTAATTATATATTTATTACTTATCCCATATTATTTACATAATTTTTCTTAAGAGCACGAAAGCACCCATGATAATTGACAATCAACTATACAATATAAGCTTTTAGTTGATGTGTGTAACAGGAATGTGCAGTTTAAACTTGGTAATAAAATTATAATGCATTTAAATTTAAAAGAGACTTTCATTGAAAACCTTTAAGAAACTATATGCCAGAAAAGCAATATCATTTAAAATTTGCAAAGTATTAGAACTAATATATTGATCCCAAGAAACTATCATTAATCTAGTTTTTAATGAGCTTAATTTGACCTTATTTCATGAGCCCAGTGTCATATGCTCAGATCCTTCTCTTTTTCCAACTCTTTTTTATTAAAACAAATTCTCTAGCAAACAATTATACTCATACTATTATTGAAGCTAAAATAACTGATGAGACTTTGCCCACTTAGAAGTGTAGAATCTAGAGAAACCTTGTCCGCTAGCATGAAAGACCTTTTTATTATAACTTCTAAATTACTTTGAAGGAATCACAAAATCTATGTCAACATTTTCTTTACAAACATCATTTGCTAAATTTGACAGAGTAAAATTCTATAAGTGACATTTATATTAGACAACAAACTTCATTACTATGTTGCCTTCGAGACTACTTTATGACTTTATGAAGGCTTCTGACTTGTTGTCTTGCATGATTGTAATCACCGTCAAAAGTGGGAGTATTGTGTTCTTATTGATCTGATATTACTGTTTTGCATAATTCGATATTACAGTTTTGCCTATTTCGGGTATTGTTACAAGCCTTCCATTACATGATTAATGACTGTGTCAAACATGAGCTTGAAATAAATGTTGTTCCTCCTAATCTATGGTTCCTTATTGTGCCGTAACTTTCTACTTGTCTATTGTGGATTGTAGACAATGTTGTTATGGGAATATTCTGGTTTCCTTTCATTCTACCATAATTGTGAAGTTGTACATAAAACGTTTGAATTTTAAGTTGATATGAAACTAAATTGGGTTGATTTTGTGCCAACAATTTCTACAAACATAGAGATGAGAAATAAATAATTAAATAATATGCAGCAAGTAATGGGAAAACTTTTAATTCAATAAAATTTTGTATTCAAATTTCAATCTTTTGTGCAATTTAGATGAATAATTTAATTGAGAGCAATTAATGTAACTATTTAATCCTGGAGGAAGGTATCAACTAGTACCGACACAAGACTTGAATTATTTTCACTTTGATTAACAATTTCCTCTATCAAGAAGTTGAGGAGGCTTTAAAAAAATCCAATGGTGGAAAGTTTGTAGGACCTGATGATATCCAAATTGTAGTGTGGAAATATTTAGGAGATTTGGGAGTTTCTTGGCTTACTAAACTCTTTAATATTATTTAAAAAACTAAAAAGATGCCTGAGGGGAGTAAAAAGATGCCTGAGGAGTGGAGGAAGAGTATTTTGATCCCCATTTTTAAGAGAAGGGATGCACAAAAGTGTGTCAATTATAGAGGAATTAAGTTAAAGTGTCATACTTTAAAATTATGGGAAACGGTAAATGAACATAGGTTAAGACATATTACAAAGATTTCTCACAATCAATTTGGATTTATGCCGGGCGGGTCTACCATGGAAGCCATACATTTATTGAGAGATTTCATAGAAAAGTTCAGAGATAATAAGAAAGTCAACATATAATTTTTATTGATTTAGAAAAAGCTTACGATAATGTTCCAACAGCTATCTTTTAAGAGTTCTTGAGAAGATAGGTGTTGATATGACTTATATTCAAGTCATTAAAGATATGTATACAAGAATTGTTACTTGTGTTCGAACAGAAGGAGGATTGACAAGGAGGATTAACAGAAGGAGGATTGACCAAATATTTTCCTATTTCTGTTTGTTTACATCATGGATCGGCATTAAGCCCATATCTTTTTGCTTTAGTTATGGATGGTCTCCTGGACACTTAAAGGAGGATGTACCTTCATGTATGTTTTTCGCTGAAAATATCCTTCTCGTGGATAAGATAAGAGAAAAAGCTCAGAAAAAACTTGAACTATGGAGGTCTACCTTGGAGTCTAAAGGCCTTCTTTTAAGCAAAACTAAATATGAATACACGGAATGTAATTTTAGTAATAGTAGCTATAGTGACAGAAATGTAACTAATGTAACTATTGGTGATCAAATTAACTATTGGTGATCAAATTATTAAAAGATGTGAACGCTTTAGATATCTAGGGTCTAGTGTTCAAAGTGATGGTGATATTGATGGGAATGTTTTTAATAGAATTCAAGTTGGTTGGTTGGTTGAAGTGGAGGAATGCTTCGGGCCTATTGTGTGATAGAAGAGTGTCACTTAGACTGAAAAGAAAATTTTATAAGATGGTGGTGAGACCTGCAATGCTCTATGGCGCTGAATGATGGCCTTTAAAACAGAAGCATAAAACTAAGTTAAGTATTGTTGAAATGAGAATGATTAGGTGGATGAGTAGCTTTACACTTAGAGACAAAATGCAAAATGAACATATCTGTGATAGGGTTGGTGCAGCTCCAGTGACGAACAAAATTAGAGAGAATCGTCTTAGATGGTTTGGTCACATTAAACGTCGACCATCTGATGATCTGATTAGAAGAGTAGATATTCTAGATTCGACTTACGTTAAGAAAGGCAGAGGTAGACCTAGGATGACTTGGGCATATTGTATAAAAAATGATCTTAATTTATTAGATTAAATGAAAATATGACACTAAATAGGACGCAATAGAGAAAAAGGATTCATATAGCCGACCTCATTTAGTGGGATAAAGGTTTTGTTGTTGTTGTACATGCTATTGACTGACTAATATTATTTTGTTCAAATTTAATATAACGTGAATTTTAATTGCATTGACAAAATTTTAATTGTGGGTGAAATTTGCAATGTTCAAATTTTTCGCTAGTTTTCTTGGATTTATTGAAACATTGCATCATCATTTGAGTTATAATTCTCGTGTTTTTCAAGTTAAGTATTTTGATGTCATTGATCTACAAATTTTAACTTATGTTTTTTAATCTATACTTTGCGAACCTAAAACATCATGTATTTCCTACATATATGATGCAATTTTTATGCATAAAAAACCCAATCCAAAATATTCAATTAAAACAGGCCTCAACGTTTCTCAAAACCTACAATTAAAGAAGCTACAATAGATGAAAAGAAAATCCATTGGAACAACAGAAGAATATCATTCAAAAAAACATTCTATTGAAATTAATCTAATAAGACAACCAACAAAACAAAGAGATTTTAACGTTGCAAATGTACAGCCATACCTAGCTAAAACTTATACTTCCCATAATAAAGAATTGAATAAAAAATAAATTAGGATATGCAGTACCTCCTTTAGTATCAGAATGAAATCCAAAGCACTCAGCATTCCCACAAACTGTCCCCTGTGTAAGTCCCACAAAGGAGCAACAGGAATTTCCTGAAAATATCTTGCCCTTAGAAAATAAACAAGCTTTATTGCTTAATCAAATAACGCAGCTTCACATAAATTACTTAATATTCAAGCGTTGAAAAATTAAAATAGTCATGGAAAAATGCTTGAAAGAAATTCAATGAATATATGAGAAGGCGTTCATTAGATGTCCCAAGATTTTTGTTAAATGGCATGTAAAAGCTTGAAGTTTGGTATCAATTTCAAACCTAAGATGAAATACCTGCACATTATATTAAAATTTTGGAAGATTTATACACATAACACTGAATTCATATGTATTTACATATCTAACATCTAAAATTTAATTTTTACATAAACGCCCACAGTAGCAGAAGGGATGAGCATAAAAGTTTGTATTCACTTTCTAAAAGTTAAATTGGTGGTATTTTTATGTGATGTGAAAGATTTGAGCGGTAAAAATGCAAAAAACAAAATTAGAAATGCAAATATATAGCAATTGGGTGATATGTACGTAAAAGCCCCTAAATATTTTGATAAGGACAATAAAATGTATATAATCAGAATACACAACTCTGAAGTAGCAATGCACGAGAAAATGGCAGTGAATGCTGACCCTGTTAGCAAGAAATGCAGCCACATGAGAATGGATGCAGAAGCAAAAAAATGGAACATAGCTAACCACAGAAAATTTACCATATTGCAAGAGAAACTTTCAATAGATAATACAAATGATGCATGGACAACAACAGAATGATCCAATAATGATGATGTGAGCAGTAGCTAATACATTTTATATTATTTTCTCTGCAAAAGAAATCATAATTGAGAACTACAGCAATGATAATCAATGAATGGAAGTTCAATAGCATGGACATTTGTCATCCAAAGAGACTTCAGTAGTCAAATTCCACAGAATAAAATAACAGCAATAACATGAATGAACTTGAAAAACTGAATAGAAATAGTTACTTTTCACTATAGTAAATTACAAATTAATTAAAACAAGATTAGACTTCAACATTTATTTCAAGACAAAAGGATATAAATATAAAAAGCAGTTTACCTGTTCATATAGGATATGGAAAGCTTGTTTCACCGGCAAATTGACATCTAGAGCAATGACCTGAAATTTCACATGAGCAAAAAACCAAAGGGATTGTACCCACAAAATAGGACTTGACATATTACGGTGAAAGAAATGTTGTATTCAAAGGGCATCAATACCTTGCCAGAATCTGGAAGCAAATCATAAGCAGTATTTGAGAGCAAGAAAATAGAAATTTGATTACGGAACAGCTCTATGTTAGCTTCAGATATTCTTAGAGCTGCTTCTTGTACCGAACTGCCAGAAATATTAACCTATTTTGAACAATAGACTGGCAAAGTTAAAATGTTATTTGAGTGAACAAAGAAGCATTTCTATAGTTTAAAACAAAAAGCTTAAATTTTGTCAAAGAAAATAAATACAGAATGCCCAAAAAACCTTATCCTACCTACCTCTACATCATTAAAGGGTATCAGTCTATTAGATCATCACCTTGCCCATAGGATAGTCCACGTTACACTAGAAAAATCAATTATCATCCAACTTCAAGCGGAAGTTATAAAACATTTATTTTCCAGTCATACTGGAAAATAAAAAGCCATCGATGTTGACAAATTTTATGGCAAAATTTTCTATCAAATCCAAGGGACAAAGCATTCCTTTTGCAAAAAAGTAGCTCGTGAGTTCAAAATCACTATACATTTTTATATAAAGAGCTCTAGCCTTTTAAAATACTAGCTCGTGACTTCAAGATCACTATAGATTTCTTAACACAACTGAGTAGTAGGCTTTTACTATAAGGCCCAGTTGTTATCTAGCGGATGCAAAATGGAAAAGTCATCAATAAAATCATACTTTAATTTCACATAAATCTTTTCCTAACATAATCTTTCCTTCAGCATGTGAGCAATGTTCCTGTAACTTTTCGGCACAAGGTATATAATAAAGCCGAAAATATTCATTCTAGGCAAGCTCAAGGTCAAATCAACTCATGCAGAATTCGAGTTTTTAGTTCAAATTGAGTACTGAAAGAAGCTAAAGCTTAGCTTAAAGAAATCCATAAAGGAACATGGATTCAACAAGAAGCCAAAGGAGAGAAAAAGGAGAAGAGGCTGCACACTATGATACTGCCTTTGTTTTAGAAATGGAGAAAAAAGAAGAAGAGAGTAATAGAGGAATGACAGTGGTGGGTTATCCAGTGTGACATCAAAGTCAGATTTTCTCTTCTTATTTTTTACAATAAGAAAAATACATTCAGCAAAATGTTCGGGAGTAACAATATTTTCACTAGCTAGCTCGGCCATAACTAAGCCATGGCCAGCTCAGTCTCAATCCCATCAATAGCTAGAGCCATCCTAAAACTCAAGCTAGGAACTCCTGAGCCTACTAACAAGTCAAACACATGCTGGACAGCAAATTGAACCCAAAATAGATAACAATCCAGTTAGGGGTACACACAAAGTTTTTTTTTTTTTCATATTTGTCAAAAGTAGGTAGACTCGGTTATCATCAGGATGAACTTTAACCTTTATCAGACCATTGTTTGATGCATTTTCCTTGAAGAGCAATCTGTTTTAAGTAAAATAAATGGACCCTATGAAGAGACAGACCAAATAAAGAGATCTAAGAATAAAGAATAATCAAAAAGCAAGCTGGGACTATACTCTAGTTCTTACTTATTGATGAGGTCCCCATCCCGCATTCCGGCCTAACCGGTCCAGGCAAGAGGGAGAGCCGACCGGCTCCCTCCTTTGGATTTGGCACCTCATTTGAGCCATGGGCGCAATCATAATTATCCAGGACTTATATATTTGATTCTTATGTTTCAGGTTTTGAGTTTGTTTCAGTTTCCTTCTAGGGATGTATCCAAGGGTGAGTGGTGCTTTGGATGTATCTCATGTCGAGGTGGTGACTATCCATGACTATCCCTTCCGGCACAATCTTCCCTCCGCTTTTGTCATCCTTCCTCCCCGCTGCAGCCGCCAAACAACCCTTCCAGGCTGTTTTTCTGCAGTTGCACTTGCTGCCACCTTCCCGAACCCACCTACCTCACTGCCGCAGTCTTCCAAACTGTCCTTACTACCCTCCACCACTACCTACCTGCTGTCCAGTCCTCCCCCTTTGCTGTTTCTAGCAATCCACAGCCCTCCCAGCCATCCATACCACCCTCTGCTGCTGCCGACCTGATATCCAGCCCTCCCCCTTGCTGTTTCCGGCCACACAGCATTTCCAGCCACCCATACTCGCTGCCGCTCCTCATCCACCCCATTCCAGCCACCTAACACAACCTCCAGACGGCCTAGACGACCTCCACCACCCACAGATCAAACCTTAGTGTGAGTTTGTGTTGTGTTATTATTTCTCATTTCAGTGTATGTGTGGTTGTAACTGCCTATTTGGCTTTTTTTCATTAATAATATTTGTTTTCCTATTGTTGCTTGGTTAACTCCGGTATCATAATCCTTAGCCTTAGGTTCACAATTCAGTTATTCAAAATATTTGTTGGTCATCAACCTGAAAATTTACCAAGATAGAGGCTGATACAGTAAGATTCCATCTCTAAATTGGTAAACAAGGCTTCATGAAATGCCAAAAATATTATTGAATGTATTGCCAAATTGTAGAACCAATCATCGAAACAGCCAAAATTTTAAGTGAATAACGAAACAGCCAGAATTTAAAGTGAATACAACAACAAAGCCTTAATCCCACTACGTGGGGTCGGCTACATGAATCCTTTTTCTCCATTGCGTCCTATTTAGTGTCATATTTTCATTTAGTTCTAGTAAATGAAAATATTACTCAAATTTAAAGTGAATAAAGAAAATTTTACTCAAATTATCAACCCTAGCACACTATTTTGCTGTTAACTTAGTGATCAAACTCAAATCAGTCTGCAACTTTTATTTAGACAAAAACCCAGCAAGTTGAAAGCTCGTGTTCAGGAATGTGCAAGTTTCAGGCACTGCACAATGAAGGCCTATACAACAAGGAAAATTAGAACATGAAGGTAAATTCCTAGCAACCTGGAAAAATCTTTTGATTCATAGAGAGCTGCTGTAATGTAGAGGAGCCAGGGATAGATCAAGTAGGAGAAAATCCTTTGGCAAAAATGAGAGAACCTAGATATTCCATAACAATATGATTTCACACCCATTCCAAGAAGAACAAATAGATCACATATCAATAAGGTTTTGGCTTTTCTTCAAAATTGAAAGCACCATACTTCTGATGTTTACCAGGAAAAGTAGATAAGACAACTGAATTTTTAAATAAAGAACAAAATAGAAAACTTATCTATGATTTTAAACCTCAACCAAAGAGCAATTCATTGGAAATTTTCTAAAATACCATGTTATCATATACAGAAAAATAAACCTGTACCGCATTCAACTAGAAACTGAACCTGACAGAGAGATAGCTTACTATAAAATCTTAAGCGTGAAATCATCTATAACTTTATTAAAATACAGATACAAAAATATGCATATAGACCTCATTCTTCAACAAAATTTGAACTACCAATCACTTTCTTCCATATTTGAGAATTAATTGACAAGGATAAACTGCTAAAAAAAATAACTATAGAAAGTAATACGTAAATTCTCTCCACCAAAACAAATCATACCCACTATTTTTTATGCATTTTGAATAAAAATAAAATCATATCCAAAAATTTAAAAAGGAATTCAACATTTTTCTTCACTCAAGGATGGACTTTACCTAGGAAAAGAGACAGAAAACATTAGCTACTAAAAAGAGTTGAAAGGTAGCTATGCTATGATGTCCAACTGCAAACGAACTTTTACAGAAATTGTTATAATTCAGTTTTGAATCAATAAACATATGTTTCAATATGCCCATTCTAAAAATAGAAGACCATGTGCAAAAATATTCCAACTAACAAGTTAACCATATCAGTAAAACTTCTAATTTTATTTGTAAATTTCATGCACCATACCAATCAGATGAAGAAAAAAGCTTCCACTTTCAAAAAAAAAAAAGGAAAGAAAATACAAACCTTTGCTTTGCATTAAATGAATGCAACCTTCTCATAAACAATCTAAAAACAATAGGAAAAAAAAAATGGTCCCTGACTATTTGCAACAAGCTAATTTAAGTTCCGAACCATATAAAAATCATACATTAGTCACTAAACTCCTTGAACAAACCAAAATAGTCCCACTGTCCAAATTGGGGGGTACAATTAACAACAAAGCTATGTCTCAGTGAAATACAATTGCAGACATCCATGCATGTTTATATTGACATGTTCGACAAAAAATTATTGATGAAAATGATTAAATATTTGAGATATATATTTCATTCGCTCTAAAAGAATGATTCTAATAAAGCAAACAATAAATTACATTCTTACTAAGAAAGGATTTCAATTAATTAGAATCTATGATAACAAGTAATCTTAATTATAAATCTTATGTAGCTCTTTCTCAGATTTTCTTTTATTTATTATATTGCATGCTGACAAAAAAAGCTGCACAACTGAGATATATATTTTATTCATTAAAAAAAAGGATTTCAATAAAATTAAAATTTTAACATACTCAAGATAAATAAAGCTAGATGAGTTTTGTTACAATGAAATCAAAATAAAAGAAAAGCTAAACAAAATATACATTATAAAAATAGTCGCTCCATAATTTGCATGGTATGAATTAACTCCTACAATATTCCAAAAGTAGCCCCTCTTTTAACGGCTTAAACATCAATCTTTATTAGATGGAATGGCAAGATTATTGTGATCCCTATTTAGGCAGTATGAAGACTAAATATAATAGCACAGCAAAACATCAATTTCACAGTATGGGAATACTGGGGTTTGGCATTTAAAAAAAAAATATTCTTAAAAGAATAGTTCACTAACCGTGCGTCGAAAAGTTTCATTATCCACGTCCATTTCTCTGCTACCAGAAGCCCCAGGACTCAGAATTGAAGGAACAAGATTATTCTCATTGGTTAGTAACAAATTGTTCACTATACCATAATTGCCAGACATATGAGGCTGATTCTCATCATGACGCCATTCACCATCAACAAAGAATTTGTACTGCTTGGAAAGATAAAAGTTATGGATACATCCTCAAAATATATGAATTGTCAAAAGAAAAATATATGAAAGTACAGAGGGTATGATACAGAACATAAATTGAGTGTTGCACGTGTTCTATCTAGCCAAATGACATGAAAATGAATAAATATGAATGAACAAATAATGAATATATATGCATGCATAAAAGTTTTAAACTAACGATTACGTGAATTTTTGCATGAAATGTCTATAAAAATGGAAATTAAAAAAGTACTAAGATCATATACAGATATCATATCAAAAGCTTACAATCACCATTTTACATAACAGAACATAGAACATAGAATAAGAGGCAAGGGACCTTAGCGCACAGTGGTCCATGGCTTGCTTTTAAAGTGAATAAGCATCAAATGTGAATCACAAGCACACAAAATAAAAAAACAATATCAATACATAAGTTCTTTCATATCCATTATTTAAAGTTTATTGGATCATTGGCCAATTAAAATAAATGTAGAACAGAATCATTACAGATAAATTATAAAACAAAGCATGGCAAAATCAAGTCAACAATACGAGGCCTTACCTGATGCAATCCCGGAGTCAAGTTACAAATAGCCTGAAATGCAGTAGGGCGATCCTCCATTGGAGACATAGGTAAATGGTCAGACCACCTAAAGAACATTAAAATAGAAGGCCATCAAAACAAATTTTGAACTTTGAAACAAAAATGTGAGATATACAATAAAGTCAGTGTTGGTATTAGACAACATCCCTCACTCATAGCTGCATATAAATATATAATTCTCACTAATAGCCATACAGCATACTCTTTGAACATATCAATACAAGTTAACTTGTTGAATGATGACTAATTAGGTGAAGCTGTAGCAATTACAAATAGTAAAAAGAAAATTCTAAAAAGTTTAAAATGTAAAAAAAAAAAACTATTTGGGGGTTTAAAATATACCAATTATGTAGAGGGCTTGACTGACATGAGACTTACACGCCAAAACATACTCAGAAACCGCTAAGGCAAAGAAAATCATTTCACTAGTATCTTAAACTTTAATTTTTTTAATGATATTGAAACGTAATATTACAGCAACTAAAAAAAACCAACCACAGAATTATAAGACAAAAATTATTGATATACTATTCAAATAAAACTACAGAAAAAAAGTCATTGAGGGTCAACTTTTAAGATGGCCCAATCAAAATTAAGGAAAGCCGTGCATTTTGGAAAGGATTTTTATTGGTCCAGCTACTCAACTGATAAAGTAACTACAGTGTTTGTGTAGATTTTTTGGAAGCTACATTTCTTCAAAGTTAGACTCATTTTCTTAAATAAAGAAAGTATTAAAATCCTTACATCACCAAGTGTCAGTAGGATTTTCCAGGAAATTTTCTTGAAAAAAGTGCATGTAAATCTGGTAACATACATCAGTAGTCTATAAAACAAATATCACTGAAAATGTTTATAGAATTAGATTTTTTTAAAAAAAAGAAGGGGCATTTACATATATACCACCCAATTCCTATGCATGTAATATCTAACAGCTAAAGTTTACATTTTACATTTATAACTCCCAAATCTTTCGAATCACATAAAAAATACCACCTTTTTAACTTTTAAAAAAGTGAAATATACATATTTCATGCATAGGTAAGATGGCATATATGTAAGAATTGAAATTTAGGTTTTAGATATGTAAATACAAAGGACTTGAGTGGTAAGTATATAAATCTTCCTTAAAAATAATTATGCATGATAATTACTAATTTAAAGGCATTAAAAAAGTCAAATTTCCATTGGATATCAAATATGACCTTGTAAAAGAGCCAATCAAAAACACTCTTCTTCCCCCATGTGGCCATACGAACCGTGTGGGAATTAGCACAGCGCCTGCAGTCCCACTTAAGTCCTGTGAAGCATCCACTCCGGAAGAAAACATGATTGCCGGAGAAAACTAGCTCGCAATTATCCCTCTTCACTTCCAAGATGTTCCTTGTAGTAGAATCTGAAGTCAACAAAGCAATAACCCAAGTTCCACCCCAATGCCTTTCTCCAAAGCTAGACCTCATGGAAACAGATAGCGCAACAAAGCATATCCCATCACAATGAAGCCCCTCCCAACGACGGAAAAATATAAAAAAAACACGAAATCCAGCATCCAATTTTAAAGTTCCTGTCTGAGACGAGATCCTCTCAAGCACAGAATGCCCCTCAGATCACGCATTTCCGTGCAATATAGCAATATGAATCTCCAACACGCATGAAATTTCCAGAAGCCTCAATCTCACAGACAACTACGATGAACATAAATCCCGGAATTTCGCCAGGGCAAGCTCCTCAGCATCTCCAACCCCGGTGCCTCAACACTATCATCAATACCAGCGCCCTCTTCACAAACTACGAATTTCCCCCATTCTGCAGCTGAGCCTCACGGAACCGAAATATATCATCAAAAACAAAAGAAAAAACCGCGATAAAAACCACAAAAAAAAAAGCAACAAGTCTGGAAACCCTAGCCCTAGAGAAGAACACCGGCAAGCCAACAAAAGAAATCTTACAGAATATTAGCCATTGCTGTCGGATCGAAGCTGCCGGGGGATTCTTCGAGGAAAACCAAGAGTGTGGAGGAGAAAGCGAAGGTTTCTTTTCTTTTTTACCCCTTTTTTTTTTCTTTTTATTCTTTTCCTCAGTTTTTTTTTTTTTCCTTGTAGAGAAAGGGCAACAGGGAAAAAAATAAAGGGCGGGAGGTGAGAGATGAGATCAGGACCGTACATATTAAATCAGAAGGTCCTAATGTTGGTTTGGCAAGTGGGCCAATGAGGAATCAAGAATACGGCTAGGCCATCTAGCGGCCTGCCCAAGATTCCCGGGCAGATGGGTCCCAGTCGAACCCGACCCGTTACGGGCAATAAACAGCAAAAGCCTTCCCGCACACCTATTTCTGGAAAGCAACGCCAGAGCACTATTTGTTTTTAGAGTCTAATTTAATTTCATATTTAATTTATTTAAAATTAATTACGATATTTAAATATTTTCTTAAATTGATTAAATGTGTTTTAGGTTAAATTTCATGCTAATAAATGGTTTTTAAGGGCTTAAATTAATTTAAAATGAATATTTAATAGAATCACACTTGTTAAATAATATAGTAATTTACTTGTAAGTATATAATATATAAAAGTATTAACAAAATTGTTTGTTGAAATAAAAAATTGAGAAATGATTATTAAATAATTAAATTAAAACAAGAATAAAAATTCTAAACAAATAGGTGTTATATTCATACAAAATATACGAAGTGTGCTAAGTGAATAGAGGAGAATCTGATGGGCTAAAAATAAAAAATATTTATTTAATATTTAGTTATTACTTAATTAAATACCTAAAAACTTGATCAGATCATAAAGAAATCAAATATTTATCATAATGGCATGAAATTTTTAGGATTTGTTCACTATGCCTCTAAGGAGGTTTCCTGATTTTTCCAAAATCAGAGAACACTCATAACCATAAAAATCCTAATTTTTCATGGTAATTGCCTCTGTTTACTTCAAAAAATTATAAAAAATAAAATAAAATTTAGAAAAATATAAAATATTGTTTGGTGAGTTCACTAAAGTCATAGGGATTAAATAAAAATGTAAGCAAATTTTCAATTTAAAAATAAATTTTCTACTTTTTTTTCTTGCTAAAATTTAGTTAAAAATAATAATAATAATAATATAATCCAAATAATTATGAAAATTGTCATAATTATTCCTCTGACCTTTAGCAATATTATAAAATTTTTCTAAGGACATAGAACATGTTTTGGACAATTAAACCAATTATCGTTGGGAATTCATAAGTATTGGTATAAATGATTATAAAAAATAAATAAATATCAGAAAAAATATAATTCACCTGTGTCATCTTCATTCTTCCAGGAGTAAGAGGTCAGAGAAGTTTCATGATCATGAAGGCAAAAATGTGAGAGTCATGTGGGCATTAACCTTAAGGGCATGATGGTAATTTTGGAGTTTTACGCTCTAAACCTGATTTAATCAATTTCTAGGTTTGATCAAAGCATAACGGGATAAATTTTTGTGATGATAAGCTCACTAAAAATATTGAAATATAAATGGTAATTAGGGTGACAACCAACTCATGACATTTTCTAAAAAAGGGTAAGATGGAAATTATTTGAATTGTTGGTATATGAAGAGAAATGAAAATTTGGATGATCAAAGAGTGGGGTGTATGAGTTAATGATTCGCTGATTTGGAACCTCAACTAGTGGTTTGAAAATTTCAATTTTTTTAATCAAGATTAAGCCCACTTTATAGAACTTTTACAAAATTATAAATTTGCCCCTGGTACTACGAGCTTGGTAGTAAACTAAGTTTAGTCGCATCATTTGAGGAACAATTTCATATGACAATGTAAATGGTAATGGGAAATCTTGAGATACTATAAGATCAAATTTAATGGAAGGGTAAGAGTGTAGGTTTCCCAATGCTTTGCAGGTGTGCCCTTATGGTTTTGTCCATATGACCCTTACTATAATATCAAGAATTGACCAATGTCTTTACTCATGGGTTAATTAAGACATAAAACACTGAACATAGTTTAAAACATAAAATATTCCTAATGCGGGTGGGTGGATTAGCTCAACAATGTAGAAAGGATAAATGAACTAGAGGTGTTCCAAGAGATCTTAAAGGTGTTTTAGGATTACATTTTGAATACCTTTATAAGATTTTGTATATTCCATATGACAATTGGGCTTATTACAATTTGTTGAGGAAGATAATCATAAAAATATAACAATCATTAAAATCAAAAGAAAAAAGAAATGAAATTCATAAGGACCCACCAAGATATGATTCAGACCATTTCAAATTAAAGTATGTTAATAAGAAGTATCCCGCTACAACTTAACCTACAATAATATCCAATGCTCAACAGTTTGGCTTTAAACTTTGTGCCTAAACTCTCCTTGCTAATTGGAGACATTTGAAGCATGACAATTTATAGACCATCAAGCTAGCATATAAGTTGGATGTACTGGTGATATGGGCGGTGATGAAATAAGCATTTGGTTTTAAATTTTGGATAGCATAATAGTATTGTATCTCCTGAACTGAGGAAGTTATGAGGGTACAAGATTGACACTAATATTCACCATCATTTGGTAAGAAATAAACCTTACTTTCTTTGGCTGCTGATAGTTCTGACCCAACAGTGTCATTAACTCGTGGACCAACTAGTTTACACAGGATTAAAAAAAAAATCAGTTTCTTGTGAAACTAATATTTTGATTGCTAAATGAAAACCTAATTTATTTATATGCATGATAAAGTTTGAATTTTTGGTGCTAACTTCTTAGTGCCTACTTGTTAGTTACCTCTATTAGGCTAAGAATTGCCATCCTTTGATCTTTCTGGTAATTACTAGCTGATTTTGGACTTTATATATGATATGTCATGTAGCATGCTCAATTTCCTTTACATTTAACGGTTGTTTTTTTATGAAATTTCACTTTAATGAAATGTATTTTTTTTTTTTGTATTTTTCTTGCAAGTATAACACGTAGGAGAATTGGCGCTAAAATGGAGCTAAATGGAGGCAAAATGGAGCACTTGGGGAACATCAATGTTTTAACACACTGGTGCCTAGGTGCCAGTTTTCACTGAGTAGATAAGGTCATTGGCGCCTTCGAGCCAGAATTACCGGGGCAGCTTCTGCAGTTAGTCCAACACGAATTTGGGAGTTGAGAGGTTACAAAGGCAGTTCAAGCAAGCACTCTCGGATTGAAGCCAAGGAAGGCAGGGGATGAGAGTTAAGAATTAGGTTTTACTTTTTCTTCATTTTATTTGAGAGATTAAAGAGGGATTTGAGAGAATTCTGTAAGGGAATACATTCAAGTGCATGGAGCATTTGGTGATCACTTGGGGAGGAGTTTTTACCTCTTTTCTTTGGGATAAAGTTAAGTGTTTCATTATACCTTAACTTGTATTATTTGTAAACTCATTTTCTATGAATTTTTTTTATTATAAGATGATGAATTGTAGTGTTTTCTTCAAGCACTATGAGTAGTTCCTTTATACTTTTCTCTTGTGATGAATTAGTAGGATATGTGGGACATTAGGATGCTTTTAGAATAGACTTTTATTCACTAAAATGATGGTTTTCCTTCATTCTCAGTTTACTTATCATTCTGGCCAAATGATATGTTAAAATTCTTTGTGACCCCTATAAAGACTTGGGAGAGCTATGATATGATCAACTAGGAAGAATCACATTGCAATGGTGGGTAAAGGAAAAGTAGTTCATATGGCAATACAAATAGATATGAAAATATGCTTTTATGAGTTCAAATTGGGGTTTCTAGGGTGACAGACAGACACACTAACCAAGTCTGACCTAAAATTTTTTATGCGCTCGGGAGAAGGTAACGAAGAGGATTGCTTCTATTTGTCACCAGGTTTTATTCTAAGTGTTTCATTCTTAAACACTACTTATGTTATTGCAAGGGAATGGTAGCTTTTATATCTTGATTTTCCCACTTTAATTAGCTTTAGTAGAATTGTAAATCAATAGGAGTAGCGAAAATTTAGTAAGATTTGTAAACACAATTTAAACCAATTATACTACCAGGCTAAGACTCATTATAGTATACTAGAACTTTTCTTAAGCTCAATTATCACATCCTCTATGGGATTGATAATCCGAACTTAATAATCTGATATTACCGATACGATACATATATTTGTGTGAAACCCTAATGTGTAAATTTTGCCTAAATTAAGAAAAGTATCAAGTTTTTGGTACAGTTGCCCCGGATAAAGGTGTAGTACCACATTGCTGCACAAATCAAGTTTCAGAATTTGTAGTACCCGTTTAACATTACAAGCAGTACATCATAGACACACTATGTCAGTATCAAGTTTTTGGAGTCGTTGTCGGGGATTGTGACGGTATATTTGACTTAAGAAATTTTTAGTTGAATTAATTAGACTTAGATTTAATAAATTGTATTGTAGTTTCTTTATGCAAGTGTTTGTTTATTTATTTAAAAAGAAAGAAAAATTAAAAAAGAAAGAAAAAGTTATTTTTGAGCTGTGTGTTTTTGTGAAACTTACTTATTGAACCTTTAGTTGTGTATGTATAGTGCAAGACCTTATGGACTTATATCATATGATTCAGAAATTCTATCGAAACTTTTAGCATTATAATCTAAAATTGAATATTCATTATCTTGTTGATCTGTCATTTCTACAATGAATTCAAGGACTCTTTGTTGAATCATAATCCTCCTAATAGTTTTCTCTAGTTCTGATTCATAGGGTTCAAGGTCTGCAGCTCATGAACTACGCATACAAATCTAAAAACAATTACTATGATAGATATCCAGTATTTTAAGCACTCAAAAATATTTTTGGTATTTTGGATTTTCTTTTAAACACATTAGATAATAACATTACAATTTCTAAATCTAAGTCTTTCAAGTTTAAGTAAAATTCTCCTAATGTTTTTTATCGTTGTATCCTCAGCAATGACGCAAAAAAACTTGACCCAACCCGCAATCACATAGTTATTTTAGTTTCCCAGCCAAAAACTTCACCAAGTTTCTTTAAGTTGCTAGTGTGCAAAATGAATGTGCTATAGAGTTTAGAATTTAATTTATAATTTGCACATTTTGAGTTCTAC